TTTGAGAGTTTTATTTTTACTATTTTTAATTATGTGTATGTGTGCATGCCCGTGTGGGGGCATGCCAGAGGCATTGGATCCTCCTGAAGCTGGAGTTATGGGCTGTTGTGAGCACCTGATGTGGGTGCTGGAAACCAAACTCAGGCCCTCTGCAAGAGCAGTATGTACTCTTAACCACTTACTAGGCCATGTTTCCAGCCCCCCAGCAGAAGGTTTTGTTTTTGTTTTCTTAAAGATTAATGATTTTCTAGCATGTATTAATATTTAGTTTCTTTTTTTTAATGGCTGAGAAATATTTCACTATGTAAATATTTTGTTCAGCCACTCATCAATTAATGCAGTTTGGTTTTTCTGCTACTTTTTTGATTATCATACATAATGCTGTTATAAACATTTGTGTGCGGTTTCTGGGTGGACGTGTTTCCGTCATCTTGACTATATACCCAGGAGTGGAATTGCTGGGTCATCTCTTATTTCTTTTTTTTTTTTTTTGGTTTTTCGAGACAGGGTTTCTCTGTGTAGCTTTGCGCCTTTCCTGGGACTCACTTGGTAGCCCAGGCTGGCCTCGAACTCACAGAGATCCTCCTGGCTCTGCCTCCCGAGTGCTGGGATTAAAGGCGTGCGCCACCACCGCCCGGCCATCTCTTATTTCTTATATTCTTGGTTTTGAGCCTAGCCTTAATGGCTGAGCCATCTCTCCAGCCCGCATCTCTTATTTCTATGCTCAATTACTTTACAGGTAAGCTATTTCATTATATATTTTCATTTGCAAGTATGAAGGTTTAAATTTCTCTGCATCCCTGCAAACACTTGCCATTGTGTATTTGATTTTAACCTTTCTTGTGGGTTAGTTTCCCCAAATGATTGAAGAGGCAGAAGGCCTTTTCATGTACTTACTGGTCATTTTGGTCTTTGGAGACATTTCCTGGGAGAAAAGTTCATTCTTATCCATCACCTGTCAGATTGCAAAGCATAGTGGTTATAAAACAATACAGTCTTTGCCTTGTTACAATTTCTTTGTGAAAAAGCAGTTGAAAGCTAGAAAGCAGTTTGCTGTGGGATGTTCTGTATGGCAAATGTGTTGCTGATTAGTCAATAAATAAAACACTGTTTGGCCATTGGCTAGGCAGGAAGTGTAGGCGGGACAAGGAGGAGAATAAAGCTGGGAAGTGGAAGGCTGAGTCAGAGAGACACTGCCAGCCGCCACGATGACAAACAGCATGTGAAGATGCCGGTAAGCCACGAGCCACGTGGCAAGGTATAGATTAATGGAAATGGATTAATTTAAGCTGTAAGAACAGTTAGCAAGAAGCCTGCCACGGCCATACAGTTTGTAACCAATATAAGTCTCTGTGTTTACTTGGTCGGGTTTGAGCGGCTGTGGGACTGGCAGGTGAGAGAGATTTGTCCTGACTGTGGGCCAGGCAGGAAAACTCAAGCTACAGCAGTTTCTCTAAGGGGCACAAACAGCCTTACTATCTGAGCAACAGCCCATTTGGCAAAGGGAGGGTTTAGTAGTATTGTCTCAAGGTAGTTGATTGCTTAAAGTCAAAAAAGCAAAGTGGTTGGGCGTGGTGGCGCACACCTTTAACCCCAGTGCTCAGGAGGCAGAGGCAAGCAGATCTCTGTGAGTTCGAGGCCAGCCTGGTATACAGAGCGAGTTCTAGGATAGTCAGGGTGATAGAGAAACCCTGCCTTGAAAAACAAAACAAAACAAAAAAACAAAAGCAAAGTAATGGGGGAGTTTCTAAGCTGGTTAAGGCTTATGATGGTAAGATTAGTGGAACTAAGGGAAGGGTGTTCAGAAATGCTCTGTGTGTTTTTTCCCCCTAGTATTTCTGTAGTATTTCAAAGTAAGATGTTTTACAAAACAAATTTGATCAGCCATGATGCAGGAAAGGCTGAATATATGTTCTCAGTCTCTCTATAGAAAATTCTGTTTATAAAATACTTATTATTAGACGTGCTCATCAAAGCACACAGCAAAGGATAAGAAAAAGAACCTCAGAGGAGCACTGGCTTGCTCCCTGGCTCTCTCGACTTGCTTTTTCATACCTCCCAGGACCACCTGCCCAGAGTTGACACTACACACAGTGGGCTAGGTCCTCCCACATCAACTGTCCATTGTGAAAGTGCTCCACAGACTTGCTTGCAGCCCAGTCTGATGAAGGCTGTACCAGATAGTTTTATGTCAACTTGACACACGCTGAAGTTGTCGGAAGCAGTAAACTTCAAGTAAGAAAATGCCTCCCTAAGATTGGGCTGTGGGCAGGCCTGTAGGGCATTTTCTTAATTAATGATTGATGGGGGAGGGTCCAGCCCATGGTGGGTGGTGCTGTCTCTGGGCTGGCAGTCCTGGGTTCTACAATAAAGCAGGCTGAGCAAGCCATGGAGAGCAAGCCAGTCAGCAGCACCCCTCCATGGCCTCTGCATCAGCTCCTGTCTCCAGGTTCCTGCCTGTTCAAGTTCCTGCCCTGACTTCCTTCAGTGAACCCTTTCCTCCCCTACTTGTGTTTTGGTCATGGTGTTTCATTGCAGCAATAGAAGTCCTAACTAAGACAGAGGCATTTCCTCAAAATTGATGCTCCCTCTGTCCAGATGACTCCAGCTTGTGCAAGTGGACATAAAAGCAACCTGCCCAGCATTCTTGATCTTGATTTTCTCTTTTTTTTCCCCTCTCCTCTCCTTTCCTCCTTTCTCCTATCTCTTTTTCTTCTTTCTGAGACAAGGTCTTGCTATGTAGTCCAGGCAGAACTGGAACTCAGTCTTCCTCTCCCAGCATTCCATGTGTGGGATTCCAGATGTGCCAGGTGCTTGTGAGTATTCTCCATATTATTCCTTAGATTCTTTGGTTTGCCCCAAGTGAAAAATGCATTGTTTTAAAGCAATCAATGAGGCATGGTGCCTAAGGACTTTGCTGATATCTGTGGACACGCAAGTTGGCAGAAGTTTTGGACAGCCTTCCCCCCTCCACCTCTGAGCCACTCACCATAGTTTCTTTCTTTTCCTTCCTTCCTTCCTTTCTCCCCAACTTCTGTAGTCCTAGAGATCAAACTTAGGGCCTTGTGCATGCCAAGTGAGCCTTCTGCCAACTGAGCTAACCCCCAGCTCCTCAGTATCATCTTTTCCACTTTATATCCCATTCCAATCCCTGGTGCCCAGTTGTCTGTTTTCTAATTATCCTCTGTGAGAGAGGCTTCACCATTTACTTCTCTGCAATCTATTGTGGTGGTTTAAAAGAAAATGGTCCCCAAAGGGAGTGGCACTATTAGGAGGTGTGGCCTTGTTGGAGTAGGTGTGATCATATCGGAGGAAGTGTGTCACTGTGGAGGCGGGCTTTGAACACTCATATATGCTCAAGATACAGCCCAGTGTCTCAGACCATTTCCTGTTGCCTGCGAGATGTAAGACACTTGGCTACTTCTCCAGCACCATGTCTGCCTGCACGCTACCACATTACACCATGATTATAATGAACTGAACCTCTGAACTGTAAGCAAGCCACCCCAATTAAATGTTTTCCTTCATAAGGGTTGCTGTGGTCATTGTGACTCTTCACAGCAATAGAAACCCTAACTAAGATACCTATGCTGTCCAGATTGGCTTCGAATTCCCCCCTTCAACCAGTAACTGAGGCTGTAGGCATGAGCCACAATCCCTGGCTTGCCATCTGCTCCTGTTGGAACCAAATTCTTATACGACTCACAAAATTGTGTGAACCTAAAACCTTTTTTACTTTGAAAAAACCAGTCAATATCAGGACTGGAGAGATAGCTCAGCAGTTAAGAGAGCTTACTGCAGAGGAACCAGGTTTAGTTCCCAGCTCCAATATGGCGGCTCACGGCAATCTGTAACTTTAATTCTAGGGGGATCTGATGTCCTCTTCTGGCCTCCTTGGGCACTAGGCATGCACATGGTACACATACATACATGCAGACAAAACACTTATACACATAAAATAAATATAAATCTTTTAAAAAGATGTCAGGAGCATATTACAAATCTTTAACAAACCAACAGTTGCTCCAAATATCACAAAATCCAGAAAATCTTATTGCATTTGTGTTAAGTAGATTAAGTACAAAGTAAATTAAAGGCATCAATTTACTCTAAAAACCTCAGCATGTATATCACAAACTATAGCTCAATGTCTTTAGTTTTTTATTTTGAAATTTACATATGGTGAAATATAAAAGTTTTAAATGTGTGTTTTCTATTTTGACCAATACATAGATCCATTATGGGTCCCAGGGATTGAACTCGGGTCATCAAGCTTAGCGGCAGGTGCCTTTACCCAGTGAGCCATCTGGTTGGCCACTCTAAAGTCCAACCCAAACCTCTACCAAGGCAGAACATTCCTATCATCCAAGAAGGTCATTCATGAGAGGTATGGCTTTAGCTTTTTAAAAATTACATTTATCCATTCATTTATATTATGTGTGTATTTTGTGTATGTGACCATATGGTACAGAAAGCATGTGGAAGTTAAAGGACAGTTTTAGGAAGTTGATTCTCTCTTTCCATCATTTAGGTCCTAAAGATTGAGTTCAGGATTGGTAGCAAGTATTGTTACCTGATCAGCGATCTCATTAGCTGGAGAGATGTGGTTTTGGCCTGTTCATATGCACAGATACCAGATATTGTAGGTTAATGAAATGACCAGTGGTAGACAGAATTAAAGTGTGAGGAATAAAGTTTGGAAGGTCAAAATGATTAGTAGATGATCAGCATCCTGGGCCCTGAGAGAAACTAGTCATTTGCAGCAAACTGTAAGCAGATTAGCTTGGCTTGACCTGAGTAAAATGCACAGGATCTAAGTGAAGCTTTGCTGTGCTCTGATTGTTTTGAAAGGCCGCCAGGAGCGGAGCCGCGGGCAGCGCAGGCCGGGCCGCATCTCCGTCCCCGCGCCAGCCGCCCGCGCCCGCCATGCGCGCCCCGCAGCGGCCCGCGCGCCCGGGCCCCGCGTCGTAGCGCGGCGGGCGGAGACCGCAGGCTCCCAGCCCGGGCCCGCCGTGTCCTCGAGCCCGATTGGCGCCGCTGCCCGGCGCCAGCGCCCGGTGCCGCCGCCGGCGAGGGTGGTGCGGGCCGCGACCCGGGCGCCCGGGGCCCTGCGGGATGGAGCAGGCCAGGACTAGGGGACCCTGCCGGGTGGAGCAGGCCAAGGGCCGGGGACCCTCCAGGCGGTACAGACTGGGACCCGGGTACCCCCGGGGTGGCGCAGCTTGGGGACTCGGGGACCCTGTGGGGGTGGCGCGGCCTGAGGACTGGGGAGCCCTGCAGGGAGGTGCAGGCCGGGACCCCGGGACTCTTCTGGGGTGGTGCTGAGGGGCCCCAGCATGCTTGCTTGGCCTGACGCCATTTTGAGCAGGGCCTGAGGAGTACGGGGAGGGTTCAGTTGAAGGACATGGGCGCAGGAACGAGCAGGGTGTCTGCGGTCGGCCACCTGGCCCCAGAACAGGGTACTAAAGGTCAGAAAAACAACTTGTACCCTAGATAAGAGCCAAGTCAGCAGGCGTGTCGAGCTCGGCGAAAAACCACGAGCTGTCCTGAGTTTGAACCTGGCCTCATACGAATCGTCCAATCAGAACCCTGTAAACTATGCTTCCTGCTTCTGTACCCGCCCTTCCGCTGCCCGACCCTATAAAAACCCTCCACTCCAGCCCGTCGGCGCGCCAGTCTCTTCAGCCTCTGGAGGGACTGTATCGCCCCGGGTACCCGTGTTCCGGAATAAAGCCTCTTGCTGTTTGCATCTGACTTGTGGTCTCGGTGTGATCTCTGGGCGAGGGTCTCTCCAGAGGGAAGACTCCAAACGGGGGTCTTTCAGTTTCAATAACACACATACCAGAGCTGGACTGTAACTCAGTGGTAGAGAATGAAGTTATCATAGGTGAAGCTCTGTGTTCATTCTCCAGCATCAGGACCAAAACCTTATACAGGATTCTCCCATAGATCCTACCTCCCGAAGGACAGTGTTTCCCAGCAGAAGTGATTGTGGCCCACAGTGGGCAGTTGACAGTGTCTGGAGACATTTCCGGTTGTTGCAGGAGTAGTGCATAGGCATTTTACTGAATGGAGTCCAGGGATCCTGCTAAACACTATCTGCTGCACAGAACAGTTCTTCACCATTTTACAACCCCAAATGGTACTAGTATCTGCTGTAGGTTAAAGGTAGAGGTTGCCATCTATACAGGAATGGCAATGGCACTTAGCACTCACAGCGAACTTTTTTTTTTTTTTTTTTTGAGAAAAAAAGGTGATGTGTTATTTTACCTTTTAAGATCAAGAAGAGAGTCTGGTGAGATGGTCCAATGGTTAAGCGCATGTACTGCTATGCAGAAGACCCTAGTTTAACTCCCAGCACCCACACTGGGTGGCTTACAACCACATATAAATTCCTGTTTCAGAGAGATTTGAAGCCTACTTTTGTGGACACCTGCATTCATGGGCATGTATCTTCTCCCATACACATAATTTAAAATAAAATTTAAAAATATTGAGGAAGAGGAACAATAACTCATTATTGAATAAAATAGATACAAACAGGCGTGGTGATGCACACCTTTAATCCCAGTGCTTGGGAGGCAGAGGCAGGAATAACTCTGAGTTTGAGGTCAGCCAGGTCTCCAGAGTAGACCAGTGCCAGGCCAGCCAGGGCTATATGGTAAGACCTTGACTCAAACCAAACACCCCCATCCCCGGGCAAAAAAAAAAAAACACAAAACAAAGCCAAAAAACACACTTCCATTTTGGTTTAATTTTGGGTAGGGAGGCAGACAGAGGCAGCAGACTGCTCATGCCTAGAAATGGGCATGTTACTGTACAAAAGGTATTTTAGGGAAACTGTTGGGGGCAGTACTAGGCTTCCGTTTTTCTCATCTGGATTCCTGGATCAGTAATTTGAGGATGAAGACAGGGAGAAAGGAAGAATGGAAGAGGAGGAAGAGGCATTTACAGTTTCTCCACTTGCTCTGATTCTGCAGCCTCTGTTCTTAAGGAATATCGAGGACAGTGATGACATCAGCTACAGCTCATGTGTCAAGTGACTCCACTTGACAAATTCCCAGCAAATGTCAAGTCAGAGAGCAGCTTCCCAGCTGTGTTTCATAGAGCATGACCTTGGCAGGCCCGACTGCTGTGTCATCCTAGGAGCCTGGCTGACCTGTCAATCACCTGAGGTGAGCAAGGCACAGTGTCCTTACGGAGGCTTGCAAGTCATTATCACTCCCATCTTGGATAAACAGTAAACTGAGGAGCAGAGAGGCTTGGTGACTTACCTAGAACCATAGAGCTTGTGGCACGGTGACCTGGAATTTGAGCCAGGAAGTCTAGCTCGAAAGTACTTGAACACCATACCCTTCCCTTGACATATCATCGGGTGTGTCAACGTCATTGAAGTGTAACATAAAGCACACACACAAAACGCTGAAATCACAAGTGTCTGACTCAATGAATTTTCACAGCGAGCACACCTCTGTACTAGCGCACAGATCAAAGGATAGAACACTAGCAGCCCCACAGGACCTTCAGCCACCTCCTCTTCATCCTATTTCTTCAATTTATTTATTTTTGTTTTTTTGTTTTGTTTTGTTTTTTCGAGACAGGGTTTCTCTGTGTAGCTTTGCGCCTTTCCTGGAACTCACTTGGTAGCCCAGGCTGGCCTCGAACTCACAGAGATCCGCCTGGCTCTGCCTCCCAAGTGCTGGGATTAAAGGCGTGCGCCACCACCGCCCGGCCAATTTATTTATTTTTAACTTTTGCTTATATAATTGTGTACGTTTGTGAGTGCAGGAATGCAAATGCCACGGCGTCTGTGTGAGTGTGTGTGTGTGTATGTGTGTGTGTGTGTGTGTGTGTGTGTGTGTGTGTGTGTGTGTGTAGAGGGCATGGGATAACTCCTGGGAATCGGCTTGTGGGACCCAGGAACCAAACTCCGGTCATCAACATCAAGCCTGCTTGCTTTTGCTGAAACCCGCTGATCCATTTTCCCTGGCCTATTCGTTTATTTTGGGGTTTGTGAGTACATGCATATGGAAATCCGAGGACAATCTTGCTGGAGTCAGCTCTCTCCTTGTGCCTTCTCTTTGAGGCAAGGTACCTCTTGATTCTGCTGCACTTTCAGTTCCTCTGGGCTCCCTGGCCCCTGAGCTTCAAGCGTCTGTGTTATGTCAGTATGACTGTGATAACAGCTGGAAGCCTCTTCTGGCCTGAGCCACCACATCTGGCTTCTATATGTGTTTGGGGGATTGAACTCAGGTCAACAGGCTTGCTTGGAAAGTGCTCTCCCCCGCCCCCAAGCCCCCTCCCCGACCCTCACTCTTCTATGTTAAATCACGCATATTTCAAGTATCATTAGGTCTTGGGTTTTTGGTTTGTGTGTCTGCATGCTCGCTTTTGTTTTTGTTTTTCGACACAGGGTGTCTTGTTATATTGTTTAGGCTGGTCTTGAATTTGTAGGCTGAAGTGATCATCCTGCTTCACCCTGCCAAATAACTTGGATTATAAGAGCGTGTCACTGTGTATGGCTTTTTATGAAGTCTGCTGGTAACGTTTAACATACTCTATCTTGAAGATACGATGGTTAGGGGAACTCCCAGTTTCGCCAAATTCTCTCTACTGGTAAAAGGTGAAGCCCTAATCTTCCCTTAAGCCCCACCCCTCCAGAACTACAACTCCCAGGAGGCTGTGCTCTGGCCGCTCTCGGATTTAAGTCAGATTCTGGGCTCCGTTTAAACCAGCCTGTTGCAGAGTGCCCTGGAGTGAGAGGAGCCAAGAGTCAGCAGGAGCTGCCAGGAGTTGGAGCCAGAGAAGGCTCCTGAGGCCAGGTTGAGGGAGGAATCTGGAGCAGCAGCAACCAAGGAGGTTGACAAGATGCTGCTTATCTTGGGACTGCTCACGTCTTTCCTCTCGATCTTGTACTTGACAGCTCCGTCCATCAGGTATGTCTTAATCCAGCCACTCAACACTACTTTACAAAGCCCTGCAGTGGTAGCTGGCTGCGACTGCTAAAGGAGAGATGAGTGCAGCAAGCAGGAAAGGAGAGGTCATGGAAGCCGCCGCCGTGGAAAATGAGGAGGAAGCACCTGGGCGGGTGGAGGTGGGGCTGATTTGAATGCTGATGCTAAGGGAAGGCTGAGGGATGGCTGTCCGGAATCTTTCCTTTGATCCCTTTAAGGTTCTCTGACACTTTCCCTTTCTTTTCTGACCCTAGGTAAGATGGGGTGTCACTGTTGAGGGACTCATTGTCGAGTAGCAGGCACTTTGGGAAGGAAACAAACTCCTTTCCCATGATACTTCTCTCAATAAATGTTTTTGGAAATGGCCCTTTCACTGGGGATTTCTGGAGGTACCAAAGAAAGAACTATTCTGAGTGGAGAATTAAAAATTTGCCAACGATTAAGAAGGTTAGATAGCCTGCTCTACAGACTGAGATCCAGGACAGGCACCAAAACTACACAGAGAAACCCTGTCCTCCCCCGCCCCCCCAAAAAAAAGAAGGTTAGATAGGAGCCGGGCAGTGGTGGCACAGGCCTTAATCCCAGCACTCAGGAGGCAGAAGCAGGTGGATCTCTGTGAGTTCGAGGCCAGCCTGGTCTACAGAGTGAGTTCCAGGACAGTAAGGGCTAAATAGAGAGAGCCTGTCTTGAATCCCCACCCCCACCCCCACCCACAAAAAGAGATTAGATAGACATATTAGGGACAGAGTGTCAGAGTGTCATACTTGATCCTGGCCACTTTTAGAAATGACTTGAACATCTTTGGGCTTCAGTTTTCTTCTTTGTGATGTAGAAATAATACTGAAATGGCTGGGGAGAATAAAATAAATTACACATGGGAAGAGTGTATGTATGGACAGTATCTAGCTCGGGAAAGACAGTGAGTATAGAGACGGTCTACCCTGGGGTAGACAGCGAATGTAGAAAGTGTCTGGCCTGGGATAGATATTAAGTGCAGAAAGTCTAGCCTGGAGTGGATAGTGAGTGTAAGAAGTTTCTAGCCTAGAAATGACAGTGTATAGAAAGTGTCTAGCTCAGTGTCTGTCAGCTAATGATGTTCAGGAAGTGTTGTAGCCTCTCTGGTCTTGTTTCCAACAAGAAAGTTTTCTCTGTCTGCCAGTTGCCTGAATAAAATCCTTAACACAGCGGCAGAAAGTCTCTCAAGATGCTCTACTCTCTAAAACCGAAGAGACAGTTGAGGGGTGATACTTACATGTGTCAGCCCAGATGCTGTCCACCAGTTCTTGTGGTGACTATTGGAGCCCCAGGGCTCAGGGTTACTGATTCCACTAGTGTTCATCACCCGTGTGTTTCCAATGTGGGTCAGAGGAGGAAGCTGACCTATGGGAATCCAGAGATTTGACTGATATCTTTGTTACCTGACAAGGAATGCCTCCATTGGCCCTGGCTCGGGAGCCCTTTCTCTGCTTGTTCAGGTGACTATTTTCTGCTTCTGGACACATGAGCCCATCTATGACTATGAGCTGGTCACTACCTTGCCCAATCAAATAGTAGCCCATGCAAATTAACTTCTTTTTCTGTTTTTTTTTTTTTTTTTTTTTTTTTTTTTTTTTTTTTGGTTTTTCGAGACAGGGTTTCTCTGTGTAGCTTTGAGCCTTTCCTGGAACTCACTCTGTAGACCAGGCTGGCCTCAAACTCACAAAGATCCGCCTGCCTCTGCCTCCCGAGTGCTGGGATTAAAGGCGTGCACCACCACCACCCGGCTTCTTTTTCTGTTTTGTTTTGTTTTTCAAGACAGAT